CCCTGCTGCTGTTTCCCCCAGTTCACAAACATGGTTAAGTCCCCTCCATACTCAGAAGAAATCTCCCCCAAACACACCCCTGGCCCTGCATTTGCTTACAGCCACCCTCCTCCTGGAGGAATGCAACGAGGTGAGCGCAGGCTGCCTCCTGGCCTCCTCTGGTCTCGCCTCTGCCCCCATCTGTCATTCTTCTTTACCGCTCCAGGGGGGCCTCTTTTCATAGGGTCACTCAGGACCTACGTGACATCCAGGGGCTGCCATCTGACTGCACCCTGGGCTGTCAGACCCTGCTGAGCAGGCCACCATGGCCCACTGTGCCCGGTTTTCTCCTACATCCCTGGCCCCGGCCCCTGGTCTCCTCCACACCTCCTCTTCCTCGGCTCTCCTGCCTGGACTCACACAGCAGCCAGAAGGGGCTTTCTGAAGCGCCCCCTATTCCTGCCCTGCGGGCTCCCCTGTTCTCAGAGTAAGTCCAGCACCTGAAAGCTTCTGAAGCCCCGCCCTGCTCACATGCTCACGCCCACGCGCGCACACACGCGCACGCGCACGCACGCCCTGCTGCTCAGGCTTCCAGCCCCATCGCTCTGGCTTCCGTGGTTTCTGCGCCCCAGTCCATACCGAAGTTTCTTCCTACCAAGCACAGTGACCAGTTTTGCTTCCAGGCGCTAGAACATGCTGTATCTCTGCCGGAAGCAGCCTCCCTTTCTGCAGCCACCTTTCCTCGACCCTAGTTAATGCCCACCAGACTTTTGGTCTCACTTGGGAAGAAAATAGATGCCTTCCCTGACGCCCCCCACCGCCCACCCCGCACCCAGTCAGAGCTAGATGCTCCGTGGCACCTGTGCGTCCCCAGCAGAGCACGTCTACTGGATGGCACAGTGCTCTCCTCGGTGACACAGAGCAGGTGCTTAGTAAATGCGTGTTGGATGAGGAACTGAAGGGGTCCTCGAGTCCCGAGCGCTTATCCACAGTCATGGCATGTGTCACCATCTCTCTGATAACAGTTCTGTGTCTGCAGCCTGGACCCCTCCCCATAAACTCAGACCTAAATGCCCAGCTGTTTTCCATTCAACAAATATGCGTTGAGCACTTACTATATGCCAGGCCGTGTTCGAGACCAGCACAGCCGCGTGGAAGTAAGATGTGTGCCACCTGTGTAGTTTCAGATTTTCCACTAGCCACAGTAAAAAGTAAAGGGAAACAGGTGAAATTAATTTAGCAATATATTGTCTTTAACCTAGTCTATCCAAAATATTTCAGCACATCATCAATATAAAAAAGGATTAAGGAGATACTTTATATTCTTCGCATTGTACTGTCTTTGAAATCTTGTGTGTGTCTTGTACTTGGAGCACATCTCCGTTTGGACCTGCCACAGGTCGAGACTCAGCTGCCACCTGTGGCTGGTGGCTGCCGGAGTGAACAGAGCAGATCCAGATATTGGGCCACAGTGGTGAACAAAGCCTGCCCTCCTGGAGCTTACAATTTGGTGGGGAAGGCAGATAATAAGTACATATAGAATATACACCGGGCTGAGGTAAGAGGAAAGAGAGAGAGAGTGGCATCCTCCAGGGACACTGCAGCAGAATGTCGCAAGTGTCCAGAAAGAGCATTCCAGCTGGAGGGAGTGGCTGGAGCAAAGGCCCTGAGGCTCAGGGATATGCCAGGGGTATTGGAGTCCAGCAAGGAGGCCAGTGTGGCTGGAGTGCAGTGAGGGACAGGGAAGGTGGGGATAACCAGCACCTCAAATGCAACCTCAGCTTTCATAGTTCTCGCAGTTGCTGGTGTCTCCCCACACCTGCACCCACTGTTGCTGTAGCCTGTCCTCTGCCCTCCTTCTCATCCCGTCAATCACCGGGTCCACCCGTTTTACCATCAAGCATTTTCTCCCTTGTCCACTTTTCTCCACCCCTTCTGAAGCTGTCCACCGTCAGCCCAGAGTTCTCCCACAGCCTCTGCCCCTGCCCCCTGCGATTCCAACCTGAATGCCCCCCTTGCTGGCTTACAGTCCTCCACTCCCATCGCCTCAGGATCAAGTCCTGCTCCTCAAATGGCCTTGACTGGACCTGTTCCGACCTCTACAGCCTCACCTCTTCCGCCATTCCAACCGAAAACTGAAAATGGTGAGAACACAGAGCTGGAGACAGTTTTTGATCTCAGGAAGCTATTGATCACTTCTGCATCCCACCTGGCTAACTTGTCCCCTTAGAACTGTAGCTGGGAGAGCCTTCCTAGCCCTGGCCCAGGCCAGGTCACATTTCTCTTCCCGGGGCTCCTGTGTGCCCAAGCAAGACCCCACCGTTGCTCTCCCCAAGCTATAGCCGGGCCACCATCCTTGGGCCAGTCCCCCCATGACGGACAGGCCCCGGCCCCATGGAGGAGCATGTCAGTCCTTGAAGACCAGACTCCACAGCAGTGCTTCTCAACGGGGGGACATTTGACAAAGTTTGCAGACATATTTGGAACTCACAGCTTAGGGGAAGGCGCATCCAGCTTCTAGTGGGCAGGGATGTGCTGAACACTCTGCCATGTGCACTACGGCCTCTCAGTAAGAAGTCCTGGGCACGACATGTCCACCCGTGTGCCGTGGCTGAGAAACTGCTCTACAGTGATGAACTGTGAACCACTGTGGGCGACCTCCAGCCCTTCAGGGTCCCAGCAGCAAGGTACTACCCCAAGGGGAGCGCTTTGTAACGTAGGGGCCACGGCTCTAGTCATGACGTGAGGAGGACCCTGTCCGCGTTCGGGGCAGGGACTGAGAATGCCAGGAGGTTGTCCCACACCAAAGAATTGTCACACTCGACCTTCGAATGTCCCACTGAACTGCTATCCACGCAGACCATTAAGGGTTTCATTTGGGTGGTTTTTTGCGTGGTTTTGTTATACACTGTCAGTTTTGTTTGTTTTTTTTTTGTATGTGCCCCTAGTAGGAACCAACCCAGGACTCTCTGGTCTGCAGGCCGACGTTGAGCCCAACCGGCCAGGGCTACACTGTCAGTTTTTAGTTCAACATCCAACCATATTCTTTAACGTTCCTGTGCTTCACGTACAGTGGACACAGTGGCTTCTGACCTTCTTTTAGATCCAAAAGTATCCATTAAAAATGGACACAAACATGGGACTATGTCATGTCTGCCATGTGGTTGTGTCCAAGCATTTACATATTGAAATTCATAGTACTCTTCCTTTAATTTTCCTTACAATACAGTGTGGTAGCATATTGTGTATAGGTATGTTGTGTTACATTTCATTTCAGATTCACAAAGAAAGTGAGAGAAAATATTTACTAGAGGAAGGCAGTGTCTGCCTGCTGGCTCCCGCCAGGGCCAGAGAGTGAGATAAGCGAGGGTCGGCCGCCACCTGGTGGCTGATGTAGAAATGGCATGCGGACTCCGGTGGAAGAGACCCCTTCCTGCCCAGCCGTGCAGCTGACCCTTCCCAAACACAGCTTCCACTGCCACCTCTCCAGACCCCCTCCCCGATATTGATGTTTGTCGCTTCATTTGGGACTTCAGAGATCCAGGAGAGAGCCCTGGCTGAGAGGTGGGAGCCCAACTTGCTGTGTGACCCTGGACAGGGGCACTGCCCTCTCTGAGCCTTGATGTGTGGTGTGAGGGGTGGGCAAAATTGGTTTCTGAGGACCCTTGAGGGTTGCCACACTCAATCCTCTCAACCAGGTGCATCCAGTTTCTCCTGCAACCTGTCCTCTGTACCTCCTGCTCACAGGGCAGCCCTAGGGCTTGGCAGAGGGCAGGGCAGTCCTCTTTGGAGGCAGAGGGATGACAGGCTGGCCTCCTAAGCTTCTATTCCCTGACCCAGGTCCCCATGCCAACTACCACTCTGCAGTGAGGTCAAGTCTGTTCACTCTAAAAATAGAACTCCTCTGCTATTAAAGGACCCCAGACCCAACCTGCGGCTTCCTGAGGGCTAGCAACTCCGAGGGCTTCCTCTGCAGCCCAGGACTCCTGGAGAGCAGGGGCTGGCACCCTCCCTCAGACTGGCGAATCCCTCCAGGTGAGGGCAGTTTCTCCCCCTCTCCCTTTCTCGCCTCCAGACTGGGGCTCCCTGACACAGACCAAGGGCTCGCCAAGGGCAGGCCTGTCTCTTGCCACAGGGTGTCGAAGACCACAGCACAAGAGGGGCCCTGTGCTGCTGCCTGACGCCCCAGCCCCAGCCCCCTGCCCAGATGCTGAGAGAAGGCGGTGAGGCAGCAAGGCTGAGGCATGTGTAGAATAAATATAACTTTATTCTTTATCCAGTAGATCTCAGTGGAAAGTCCAACAGTAACAGGTGCACCAGTGAGCTCTGGGGGATGAGACCCCAACCCTGGGGCAAGGGGGGCCAGGCAGAGCCAGCTCCCCCAGCCCAGGGGTGCAGGGGATGAAGGGAAGGGACCCCCTTAGACCCGTCCTGCGGGGCAAGGAGGGAGTACGGGTGTGGGGTGGGGTTGGGGGGCAGGCCAAGGAAATGGAGGAACTCAGGCTGTGTCTGGCGGCCTATGTATGTGTGTGTCTGGGGGCCCTGTGGGTGGTGCTGGTGGCTTAGAGGCTGGGGGCAGGGACAGCTCAGACCCCTTGGCCAGCCCCTTCACAGTGGGGGGTAGGAGGGCTTAGATCCTGTGGACCCTGATGGGGGGCAGTTCAGCCAAGGACACAGGGCTGGGGAACACACGTTATGTTCTGAGGACCCCCCTTTGCTTGGCCCCGACCCATCTCTGGTGGCAGATGCCCTCCTCCTAGGGGCTGCGGCGAACGGTCCACACCCAGTGGTCAGGCAGAGGGGGGGGGGCTGGGGGCTTCCCCACCACAAAGGAGGGGAGGGCAGGCCTCAAAGTTAGTACTTCACAGTTTTAAAGAGAAAACTGAGGAGAAACGGCTGGGGAGAGGGCCAGGGGGACGCAGGGACATGGAGAGAGAGTGGGAGCCCACCCCCAGGACCCAACCCCCCCAGCTCTGGATCCAGCTCCCCCCAATACACAGCACAGATTCCTTCAGTATAAATGTGCTTAAAATGAAAATTCTTATTAAAAAAATCAAAACCAAAAAAATTAAAATAAAAACAAAACCAGCAATAATACCTGGGGGTTGGTATGGCAGGGTATGTACAAGGGGAACCCTCCACCCCTGGCCCACCCCCTCTGTCACCAACCGAGGCAAGGGGGTTCCCCAACCGGGGGGCAATGGCTTGCAAGTTCTGAGGATGTGGGAGCCAGGTCCTGGCATTTGCTGGTGATGAAGATGTGGCGAGGTGGGCAGAGGGGTGTCTTGATGAACACGAGGCCCCCAGGCCCCATCCTGAGACCCAGAACCAGGGGTCCTCACTCAGTTCATGACCTTGCCCCAGGCCGCAGAGTAACAGTCCACAGCACCCAGGCCTCTGTCCAAGGAGCAGCCACCTCCTTCCTCCTGTCCCGGGAAGGAAGACAGGTGGGGCAGGGCTGGCTGGGGTTGCATGGTTGGTAGAAAGGCAGAGAAAAGCCGGGCAAGGGGCAAGGGCTGTGTCCATGGGGCGCAGGCGGTCACGGGGAGTGGGTGGCCGGGCTGCTTCTGTTGGAGCTGGGGCTAAGGCTGGGGCTACAGCTGCGGGGTGGGGGAGCCAGGCCATTCCCGTCCCGCCCCCCACCCCCCGGCTGTCCGCTCAGAGTGTCCAGGCCCTCTGAGTTCTCCAGCATTTCCTGGATGAGAGGCGGCATGGAGCCTGGGATCTCCATCTTCAGCGTGATCACCCGCTCGGCCCCTGCAGGAGAGGAGGGCACAGGTCAGCACACACCCACTCCCCAGCTCCAGGAGGGAGGGTGCAGGGGGCGGGACAATCAGTGCTTCCAGTATCAGTATCTACCACGCACTGAACTTGGGGCTTGACTCTGACACAGCAGCTCTCTTAAGTCCCCAAGTCCGAGGGGCAGCGAGCGGGTAAATGGTCTTGAACTCAGGCGCGGGTGAGACCACTTGGTCTGACACTGGGCCCTTCCTCTGTGCTGAATGGCCTGGCTTCTCCTGCTGACACCTCAAGGAGACTCTCTGAGCACCATCACTACCTCACTCCTCAGCTGGGGTCAGAGCGTGAAGTGACCTGCTCAAGGGCACACGCACACCACCTGGCTCCAGAGCCGTGTCCTTAACCACCATGCAGAGGTGACACTGCCACCTTAGAGCTCACGGGCAGGAGGTCACCTGGGCTTGATAGGGTCTCTGGGGGACCTGCCTAGACAGACAGGGACAGCTTGGGTGCTGAGTGGGGCATCGTCCCGGGCACAAAGACATTGGGTGTTGGCTGAGATGTGGGGACCTGGCCCTGGGTCCTGGTAGGCACATGGGGCCTCCCTCAAGGTGTGGGAGCCTCACCCTTAGCACTGATGCTTCGAAGGTCCGTGATCTTCATCAGCATCTTGGGGAACATGTGGGGGCGGCTGGGCCTCCGTTTCCGCACGTAGACCTTCAGCGCCTCGAGCAGCGGCTCCTGCAGCATGTCCACCCTGTCTGGTTGCTCCAGGTCCTGCCGGTCTGAGAAAGCACAGGTGCCCCCTGAGCGCTGCCCTGGCCAACCTAAGAACACCGATGTGCTCCCAGCCTTGGCCACTGGGGGGCGCGCCCGACCAAGACACAAGCTGGGCGTCTGTTCCTGGACCTCTCCACACCGGGCGGTGAAGGTGGGCTGTGCGCTCGGATACAGGCCCTTAAATGTAAGCAGAGGAGCTGAGGATGCGTTCTGTAAAGCCAGCCCTCAAGCGGCCAGAAGATGCTCAAGCAGGTCTCCAGCTCCTACCCATTGTGGACACCAGCACGATAATGCAGAACTTCTAACAAAATAGTAACAGCAGCCAACAGTCACTGTGTCTTACTCTGGGCACACTGCACTCTAATTACTAATGACCACTTTCATCAGCCCATCAGCTTTATGCGACAATTACTGCCTCATTTTACAGAAGTGGGGGGCTCAGGGAAGTTTGGCAACCTGCTCAAGATCAAAACTGGCCGGGACTTGAACCTGGGTGGTCTGACCAGGTGGGGAACCAGAGCTCAGGTCTCCACTGCCTCACCCCTTCTGTGTGGCCACAGACCAGACCCTGCCCCTCTGGGACTTGGTTTCCCCCTCTGAGCAGGCCCCTTTCTGACCTAATGATCCCTGGACATCCTAGTGAGGGGCTTCAACACCACCCAGGGCTGGCCCCAGGGCCCAGGCCCCCTGCCCACCTCCACAGATGAGGCAGATGGCACTGAGCAGCCCGGTCTCAGCATCGTCCATCTCCAGGGGCAGCAGCTGGTTGGCGAAGGCAAACACCAGGTCTGTGAGGGGCCCAAAGCCGGCGTTGTGCATCTGGGTTCGGTTCAGAGTCAGCCCGTCCGAGAAGGTCATGGTATCCTGCTCGGGCGTGTACCTCGTGCAGATCCTCAGGATCTGGGTGCAGAGGAGGCACAAGTTCAGGGACTCACCCATCCCCCCAGCACTTCTAGCACCAGCATCCATCCCCACAGGGCCACCTGGCAGGCAGCCAGACCAGTGTAGCCTGATAGAATCTTCTACAATAATGAAAACATCCTAAGTCTGCATCACCCAACACAGTAGCCACCAGCCACAGCGTGGCCATCGAACACACACCATGCTGGTGCGACCGAGGAACTGACCGGTGTCATGTTAGTTCATTTCGATTTAAATGGCCACACATGGCAAGCAGCTTCTGTATCGGTCTGGTTTCGGGTCAGCCCCTGTCCTCATGAAGAGAATTTAGAATTCTCTAGAAACTGAATTTCCAGGCAAGAATCATAGTGAACTATGTCCACAGTTCCCAGGACAGGGTACACAACAGGAGCTCAATACATGCACATCAGCTTCTACTGTGTCAAACCCTGCCTCTTGCATCCAGGGCATGGTGATGGGAGGCAGCCTGGGGATGGCACACTCTGCACCTGCCCATTCCTACCAGAAAGTCACAGCCCAGATCCCCGGCCTGGAGGGGGCCGAGAGGGCTGAGCCCCTCAGGATGAATGACAGGGAGGAGACTCCTCAGTGAAGGCTTTGGTAATCCCTACCACACCCATCCTGCCTCCAACCCGGCCCACCCTCTAGCCCCGACTCCAGCTGGACTCACACCAGCAGGCTGTCCCATCTTGTCCTGAGCTAGTGACGCCCTCTCCCAGGCTCCTCCTACACTCCTAGGTGCCATCTCTTCTGAACCTCTTCCCTGGGGCCCAGCAGCTGTGGCTTTCTCATCTGCACGGAGGGGAGACAGCATTCCCGTCCCCAGCCAGCACTTATCCCAGTTTGCAACCTCTGTTTACGTATCTGTTGCCTCCCAAAACAGGTTTTCAAGAGAGGGGACAGTGTTGTGTTCCTCTCTGTTCCTGACACCCAGCCCAAGGCCTGGGCACACAGGGTCCCAGGTGAATCTTTATTACAGACTGAACAGAGGGGAAGGCGGCTGGCTGGGTGGAAGTCTCAACAGAAAGCTGGGGTGAGGGTGGGTGAATGTGTGTGGGTGAGTGGGTGAACTCGTGTACATCCAGGTGCTGAGTGGCTAAGTGGCCAAGTGGCCAAATGGACTCAAGGGGGAGAGGAAGGGTAGATATTCGGGTGGGTGGGGCACTTGGATGGGTCTGTTCCAGACGAATGTTAAAGGAAGGTGGTTACTGGGTGGCAGGGCATCCTCCAAGGAATGGGCAGGCCCGGTGGGCGGGGCGGGGCGGTGGGCGGGGGCAGGCCCGATGGGCGGGGGCAGGCCCGGTGGGCGGGGCGAGGCGGTGGGCGGGGCGGCCCGGTGGGCGGGGGCAGGCCCTCACCAGGATGTCCAGGCAGGCAGCCTTGAGAAGGGTGATCTGGTCAGCAATGGTGAGAGTGGTGAAACCAGGCAGCTGCTTGGCGAACTCCACAGTCTTAATGATGCACTTGGTGGAGAGTTCACTGAACTTGTCCCAGAGGTCGATGTCCAGAGAGACACGTTGTTCTGAGCTGTTGTTCTGAGAGGACAAGGGAGAATGAGGGCCTCCTCCTCATGGCACCCCTTCTGGGCCTGGCGCCACCAGCCCCGCAGGCCTGCCCTGAACCTGGCCTGCACTTGCTGAGAAGCTCTTTGAGAGGAGGAAGCAGGAGAAGGGAAAAGAGGGGAAGGCGAGGACGTGGAGGCCTGGGCAGGAGTGAGGGGAGCCAGCCTGGTAGGACAAGTTGTCCCCACCCCCACCCCCCGACAGGCCATCCTGGGCCTGTGGCACTGGGTGCACCCCACCCCGCCAGGCCAGGGGAAGCCGTACCGTAGTGTATTTGCCCAGCTGGCAGAGGGCAGGGAAGGTCTCCTGGTGCGCTTTGCGCACCTTCTCAATGAGCTCCCCAACCTCTGGTGTCAGCGTGCAGCTCTCGGAGCACTCAGGCTTGGGGGCCTCCTTCTTCTTCTTGTTCCGGTCATTCCTCACAGCTGTGGGGGGCAGGGGCCAGTGGTTAGAGGGCAGGGGCAGGCAGCGGTCCATCCCCGGGTCCCAGTCCATCCCCGCCGGAGCTCCTCCCACCAGAGCCGCCGGCTGTGGAAGTCGGCACCCAGTGGGCACACACAGGAGTGCACACAACAACGTACCCGCACACAAACGCACATACTATGTGTGTACACATAAGCGCGTGTGGGCGCGCACACACGAGTGCACGGGCAGACAAGGCGTCAACTCATGGTTCACCCTCCATGCCCACCTGACCCACACGCCAAGTCCTGCCCGAGGGCCCAAGACCACAGCTCCAGGCCACTGTGGCCACACCCTCACACACCTACTCCAGCCCACACTCCCGAACACGTGGGTTCCTAGTCTGAAAGCAAGTGTGCAGAGTGTCCCACCTTCCTGCTCTGCCTCCCAGCCCCCCACTCCCTCTGCTTCCAAGAACAAGAAGCCTCCGCTGGTCCCCAGCCCTCCCGGCAGCAGTCTCCCTGGGGGTCCCTGGGACTGGCTGGAGGAGGAAGCAGCTCCTCTCCTCTGGCAGGGGAGGTGTAGGGCTCCCCAGCCTGAGAGTGGGGGGCCGGACAGGAGAATCTCTTGGCCCATTAGCTGGGGGAGCTGACAAATCACCGGGGGCGCTGAGCCGCACACACCACTCGGCTTTAAAGAAGCGATGGGGTCGTTACCAGCCGATTATCCCAGACACACAATCACTCACAGGGCCAGTGGTGGCGGCTGCTGACGCTGGAGGAAGAGAGGGTGGGGGTGGGGGCCTCAGGAGGGGGCAGTGAGTTGGGGGGGGAGCTGGCATAATTTGGAGATCACTCATGTCGATTCTGCAAATTCAATAAAGTGCAAGGGAGAGAAGGGAGAGGGAGAGTGGGGGGATAATTTGGGAAGAGAAAATTGCAGCTGTGACAAGACGTTTATCATTCGGAAGCTTTAATTCTATTGAAATGGCAGCTGCTCAGCTCCGGGGCACAGAGCAGCCAGGGAGAAGGAGGGAGGGAAAGGGGGAGATGGTGGTGGGAGGGAGAGGGGGTCCCCACCCTGGTCCTTCTGCGATGAAAAGCTCTGGGAGTGGAAGGTGGCAGAAGCAGAGGGAGGAGGAAGTGCTGAGCCCTGAAGGTCCCGAGTTGTCACTCATTATGCAGCATGGAGCCGCCACTTCCTGGGTTCCTAACAAGGCAGCCCCTGCCTCCTGTGGCAGGGTGACGCAGGATCCCTCCTCTCCTGTACCCTCTTCGGTCCCCCCACACCCCTTCCGCACTTCTTCCACTGCCCAACCTACAAAGGGCTAGGGGGTCCTGCAGCCCCCTCCCCCACCCCATCCCCCAAGGCTCAGGCTCCATGGCAACGGCCACGCAGACAAGGAGGCGTCTGTCAGCGTCATTTATCTCTGACATCATCAATCACCGGTCACCACGGCAACACCCATGATTCAACACAAGAGGGTCTCCCTGTCCAACCTTCCCTCCTCCCTCCATCCAGCCTCAGCTGAGCCCAAACTGGAAACCCCCGTCCTGCTGGGATCTGAGAAGTCCCAATTCTCTCTTCCAACTCCAGGGCTCAGGCTCCACCGCTGGACAATGGCTTTTCGATCCCTATGCCAGCTGCACCCCCCCAAAACACACACACACACACAAACTGGTACCCCTCAGTGTGGGCCTTTCCCTAACATGCACAATCCAAAGGCACTTGGGGATGCTTCTGAGCCCTGCCCCAAACCCAGCAGGGCCTGGAAGCCAACTGACCTGCATCAGACACACAAGCACACACAGCCAGCCACGTGCAAACAGGAACGGCTGCAGTCAGCTGGATACATGGACAGACCAGTCCTTGTAGCTATACACAAACCACCCTTAACCATGGGCCCACACACTCACCCTGCCCCCTGCCCCCTGGCCTTTAGGAGCACCACAGGCCCTCCTGGCGTGCGGCCCCTGGCCTGGCCCTGCACTCACACTCTTTGGACATGCCCACTTCGAAGCACTTCTGCAGCCGACAGTACTGGCAGCGGTTGCGGGTCACCTTGTTGATGATGCAGTTCTTATCCCTGTGACACGTGTACACCATGTTCTTCTGGATGCTGCGGCGGAAGAAGCCCTGAGTGTGGAGGGGAGGGAGTCAGATCAGCCACACCCACAGTGGGAGCCGTGGCAGCCTGTGGCTTCAGCCAGGGGCTCAGAAGGCCAGGCTGCTGCTACCCCCAAGCCTGTGGCCCTTACCTACCTGAACAGGGGGAGTGGCCCACCTATAAGGACACCCCCAAAAGAACCCCAGTACCTGCCTCTACACTGCAGGTAAGCAGAGAGGTCTTCCCCAACCCACACCCACAGACCCTGCGTCCTCCCTCCTCGGGAAAAGGATGTCAGGGCTGCCGGTGGGTCAAGAAAAGGGGGCTATGGGGCCAGAGGAGAGAGAGGCAGAGGTCTGCAACCCACAGCCCTGGGCTCGGAGCACAGGAAGAGAGGCGAGCAGGAGAGGCCATGCAGGCACACACACAGGCTGGCATGAGGGATGGAGACACACACTCTCTCAGGACCAAGCAGCAGGACACGTGTTCGCCAGCCAGGAAGATGTGCACAGACTGATCACAGGCGAACCCGGGCTGCTTAGGAGCTCCACACACAAGCTGACTAGATACAAACTGACAGACCAGGAACAGACAGGGAACCACCAGACAGGACAGGCAAACACACACACCCTGAGGCCTTCGGCTTTGCCCTTGATCTTGGCCCCACACCGGGGGACAGCTACTCCAGGCTGAGGGGCAGTCTGGAGCCCTAAGCCCCCAAACTGTACAGTTTCTGAGCCCCAGCCTCTGAGAAAGAAACAAGTACAGAGGCTCAGGCCCTGGGAGATGAAAAGGGGAGGCCCTGCCCACAGCCACTGGGAAGGTGCAACCACATCTGTACCCTGGAGCCTAACGTGGGCACAGGGAAATCCAGCCAGACACTGGGGAGCCCACAGCCTGCGCATCTGAAGGACAGGCCAAGGCAAGGCGCCTGCTCCTAATTGCCTCCTGCCAGGCTGCCATGGGGAGGTTCAGGCAGGGCCACTGGGGGCAGGCCTCCTGGGTCCCCGGCCAAGAGCCAGGCAGCAGCCAGCTCACCATGGCAACCTGAGCAGCGGCGGCAGAGCAGCCCTCCGCCGGAGGGAGGATGGAGACAGGGAAAGGAGCTCAGGCAGGAGGGGACCTCTTTGGTTTGGGGGACCCCTGCTCATCTACGGGGTCTTCTACTGCAGGCTTCTTCTCTTCCAAGACTGTTGCGACCTTCCACACAGGAACAAGTACAGCAGCTTCAGGGACACCCCCACCCCCATCAGCATACTCCCAGGACATGGCAGTGGGGACATTTCATTTATCTAATCAGGACTGTCTTTCCCAATGACTCAACTCACCTTGCAGCCCTCACAGGCGCTGACCCCATAGTGGTAGCCTGAGGATTTGTCTTGGCAGACAAAGCAAGGCTTGTAGATGCGGGGGAGCGGGGGCGGCGAGGGAGGGCTGGGCACTATCTCTTCGGAACTGCTGCTCTGGGTCTCAATGGCTAGAGAGAGAAGAGGGAGGGGCAGTTAGAGACCCAGGTAGCCATCCTTAATACTGTGCCCATCTGCCTCCTGATCTCTCCCAACAGCCCTTCCCAGCCTCACCACCTCTGCCCCGATTCAAACTCGGGGGCAGGAACACAGTCTCAGCAAAGCTGGGACTCCCAGCCAGACTTGGGGATGAGGCTGCCAATGAAGCCATCAGCACCTATCACTCCTATCTACTCCCCCAGGACTCCACCTTCAAACCCAGAAAGATCAGCTGATAAACCATCAGATGTGTACATGGACATGGCTGTACCTGGGCAGTGGGTGGGAGTCAGCCTGGTTCTAAAGCCCTGGCCCCTGGGCAGCCTGGACCCATCGCCCCAGTTAGGAAGGAGTTAAGGCCTATGAGGAGGGAGGGAAGAGGACACAAGCTAGGGGCAGAGGAAACTGGGGTCAACAGGATATTCAAAGCCAGCCACTCCCCCACCCCCTGGGCTTCCGCTCCCCCCCTCCTCTCTGACAACAGCCATAGCCCCTCCTCCACCCAAACAATCCTCTGGCCAGGGACTCAAGGCAGGGTGAGCAAAGAAGAGTTGCAAATGTTAGGGCAGGCAGGGACTCCCTGATAAGCAGGGGGACCCCCCTGGAGACAGAGAGAGGAGTCCCTATGGGCCCCGGAAGCCCCTGGTCTGGGTGCCCAGACTTGGGGGAGCAGCATGACAATGGGGGTCTGTTCCCATCAATGGTCTGTCTGTCTGGCCTCAATACTATGTCCGGGGTTACTACCCACCCTCCCCTCCTGTTACTTAGCTCCAATAGGGCAGCCAGGAGGGCTGACCCAGCCAGCAAGGGCAGCCCTCACTAGCCAAACCCTCCCCAGTGCCTGGCCCCATGCCCATCACCCCAGGCAGAACAAGGCTGGACGGGGTGGGAGCTGTCTGTGCCTAAAGCCTGGGCAGCCAGGGGTGAACTGTGCTGGGTGGAACTGTGACCAAGGCAATCCCAGATTCCCAAGAAACCACCCAGCAGCCTCCTGGGGCTCGAGAAGTCCATTTGTCCAAAGACAAGGAATGCCAAGGATGCCTCCCCAGTAGGTAGGTCCCCACCTCCTACCATACCCCAGAATCCTACCTAGTCTCACCCCAAACTCCAGCACACAAGGTCCTGGCATTCAAAAGGGCCCAGAGCTTCTGGCCCAAGCACCTTATGGCCATGAGTCACATGGCCCCAAAGGCCAGGCACGGAGAAAAGAAGAGCCTGGACCCTGGGGGCTGGCTGCACGCACCACCACCCTTACCTGCGGACACATCATGGACTGCCAGGCAGGGTGGCAGGGAACCAAGCCAGAAACTTTGGCAGGGTTTTCCTGGCTCTTGCCAGGGCCTGGGCACCGCTTCCCCGGCCAGCCTGGCTGACCGGCACTGCTGTGGGCCCACGCTCCCTGCCTGCTCAGAGACCAGCCCCAGCAAAGGAACAGCGGATGTCCATACCCCCACCAGCTCACAGACTCTCCACTGACCCCACCTCCCAGCCCTCTGCTCCTCACCCCAAAACCGAACTGCCCTGGCCTGGTTTTCCCCCACCTCACTCTGCAGCAGGCCAGACAAGCAAATCAGACAGGCAAGAGGCCTGAGAACAGCTGCTGGGGTGGGGGGCAGGCTTGGGGGGCCTGGGTGAGGCCAGGAGGCAGAGGGGTGAACGACAAAGGAGCCCTTTGTTGTGCTAACTTTTTCCAAGACGTAAAAGGAGTAACAATAGACAATCCAGACTGGTGGTGGTGTGGGGGGGGTGCCAAGGACACGGGTGGGGGGCTGAGGGGGGGCTGTGGCCTGGAATCCCAGTCAGTGTTCCAACAAGCAGAGGATGAAGGCACTGACCTGCCTCCCCTTCCCATCAGCCCTTTGCCAGGGTTGGCTTCCACAAGGCCCACCTCTAAAATGTACCACACTGGAGGGGGAGAAGGAACAGGGGGAGCTTTGGGGTTCAGAGTGGGGTAGAAGAAGGAGGTGTGGCATGGAGAGAGACACACAGGATATCAGGATGAGGGACAGACCACTCTAAGTTCAGAGTCAAAGTAGTGGGGCAAAGGTCTGTAGACATTTGGAGCTCAGGCAAAGTCCGGAGCATGTTTATGGAACTGAAAGAATGTGCTTTGTAAAATTGTTTTGTGGTAGCATAAGGGGAGATGACTCGATGCGGGGGCTACAGTTTGGGCTGGGTGGGGCCTCCCTTCCACCCACCAGGTAGCCAGCGGGCTGCCTTTGAGACTATAACGTGGTCTATATTCCCACCCCCAGCACATCCCACCTGTCGCCTAGGTAATAGAGCTGAGGTTTCCAAGTGTGCCCTTTGAACCCAAAGTCTCAGGGCCCAGTGCCCACCTCCTCAAGCCTCCAGCCAGTACTCTGGGAAGGCATGGGGCACTCAGGGACCCTCAAAGCCTCTGCAAGAGTTAAGGACACAGCTTTAAGTCTGCCCACACGAGCCATGGGGGAAGGACTGCCAAGGCCTGGCCCCTCCCCAGAGGCCCCAGCCCACAAATCTCTTCTCTTCCTGCAGAAAGACTAGGTTGGAGAAGCACCACACCTTCTCAGCTCAAAGTTCCAGCGCCCAGCACAGGGCTGGCACCGGCCCAGGAAGCCTGGGTCCCCTCGGCCTGCGCGCTGCCAGGGTGCCCCTCCCCCGCTCCCCTCCAGGCTGGCAGGAGGCGCAGAGCGCTCCGGATTCCCCACGCCCCAGGCCCCAGAGCCTTTTGCAGGCTCGCACAAGGGGCCGGTTTCCTGGAGGAGATCAGGAGGAAATCAGCCGGGCCCCTGGCCAGCAGCTCCCCTCCCAATCCAGCTGGCGCCGCTCCTCTGCAGCTCCCCTTGCAGCCCCTGGGGAGGCAATGGGAAGGGGGCGCAGGGCCCTGGTACTGTCCTTCCTCCTCCCGGGAGTTGGGGTGGGGGGCGACTTGAGTGCAGCATCTTGGTAGAAGGCCCCTGGCCCAGCGGCCACCGATAAGCATCTATTCCCCTCCCCCCAGTATGGGGGCCACGTGCTTCACATTCTTGGACGTCTGGGAGCGGGCGGAGACGTGAGCAGCGGAGATTGGTGGGGGACAGATGGGGAACTACATCCTGGTGTACCCCTTGTCCTTTAGTGCCTCCAAACAGGAGTTCTAGGGAGGGTGGCAACGTCCCCAGGGCCCTGCAGGGCCGGGAAGGTTTCCTCTCAAAGCCCACATGCTGTCTCTCCCCACCTCTGCTGCCCGAGGCAGGAAGGAGTGAAGAGGCCGGAGGGCTCCTGTCACCAGAGGACCGCCACACACTGCCAAGGTAGTGGTAGTGACCCGTGTACTCTAGGCAGGGTCTTGTTGCCACTTCCAGCCTCCAAGTCTTTGCAGTACCTCCGAACACCCCTCCCCCAGCTCACAGCATGGGCTTGAGCCCAATGACATACACACACCTATGAGTACTACAAGACCAGGGGCCCAGGCCTGGAGCACTACCCCACCCCAGACAGAGTGTGGGGGACAGGCCTCCATTTCCCCATGGCCGGCCTCACCAAACCCTCAGATTGTTGGACTCCACACTCCCCCTCCTCCCCTTTAGTTGGGCTGGGAAGAGCTGAACTGCCCCCACCAGCAGAGGAAGAGACAGGGCAGGCGCCTAAGGTCTCCCCATCCCTGCTTCACCCCTAGTCCTCTGGTAGTCAAGGTGGTGAAGGGGGTAACCCTGGCAGCCCTGCCCCAATTACCCAATTGGGGAGGTGGTGAGACACCTTCCTTCAGCTCAGGGAGGATGGGGAGAAGGGTGCTGGGGTCACCCCTCTCACCTCTCTGTTTTTGCCAAAGTGAACCCACACTCACATCTCTGTCCCTCCCACAGTCTGCAGCCTTCAGCCTCCCAGCCAATCTGCACATTCCCTGCTCCCCCCCCCCCCCCCCAAGGCAAAGGTCAGAGGACAGGACAAAAGCAAAGGCTTGGGTTAAGGTAGCTCGGGGAGAGGCAGAGGTGAGGTGTCTCAGTCTCTCTCCTGGAGCAAAAGGGCTGGGGGTTGCCCTTCAACCCTTTCCAATCTGCCAGGCCTCCAGAGACCCACTCCACCCCCTCCTCCCTTGCAGGCAGTAGGGAGAAAGCAGGTTCAGGAGGATAGAGAAGCTACCGGGAAGAGTTGAGCCCTGAGGGGATTGGGAAGAGACCCGAGCCTTACAACAATAAACCCCGCAGGGGAGTGCTGCTCTCTCCCACCCAAGTACACTACCCGCACAGCTGGGTACGAACACACCCAGAAGTGCACCCCGGGCATCACACCTCCCACAGGGCAGAGCCCCTCCCTACCAAAGGAGCCTGAACCTAGACAGGGGACACTGAGAAGAGAAGGTAAGCAGGCTGCCAGGACTCCAGGGTTCTCATTAGCACCCCTTAGGAAGGGACAGTACCTGCTCCTTGTCCCCCAGTGAACACAAGGTAACAAAAGGACATGGCTGGGTTGGGAAGGGATGTATTCCTTTCCAGAGTAGCCCCAGACCCACCAAAAACACACTCATCTCCTAGGGAACAAACCTGGTTAGGATTAGGGGGAAGAGGATTCTTCCCACCAGAGCAGCTCTCTCTCCATTCCTAGGGCAGAAGCCTCCAAGATGCCAGCCAAGTGTCTAGGGCCAGGACTACACTCAGATGGACAGGTGCCCCTCCCCAAAATGGAAGGGTCAGTTAGGATGGCAGAGGGGTGTCTAATAAAGTTGCCCTTTCCTGCCACACCCCACTGCTAACACCAAAGACATCCAGTGCTTCCCTGACACCCACTCTAAGGACACAAGGGCAAGGGCTAGGATCTGGGATCCTCTTCAGAGCAGACAAGCCCACAAATGGTACCTTTTACCCGACCCTCCAGGGTGGGAGAAAGAACCCCTCTGCTGTGAAGCTATTAGATTCCAAGTAAGAACATATGAAGTGGGGCAAGGGGCTTCATGTCCCCCTCCAAGAAGTAGGATAAATGAACAAATGTTTTCAGAAGGGAGGAATCCCCA